GCAGGATGCAGCGCACCCTTCATGCGACTCGCCGAATATCTCACGGCGCTTCGCGCTTGGTGATTTGAGGGCCTGGTCCGGTTAGAACCCGGCGTGCTCCGTCCCGGGTTTGTAGGGATGCGATGTCAATGGTCTAACCAATACGGCATGCACGACTATGAGTATCCCCCCCCCCTTCCCCCCGGCACTCTACTCTCCATGACTCGGAGGGGGTTCGAATATCATGCTTTGGTAGGTGTGCAAGAAAAAATAATTGTTGCACATATTCCTGCACACGTCAGCCCCGATACACCTAGTGTACACGCGATATTCATCGGAATGGTTGTATACTCGAGGTGCTTCAGATCCTCTTCTTCGTCGTGAGCAAAACAAGAAGGGTGTCAGCTGATGATCACATACCGTTCCCGTGAAAAATAGTCGAGACGCAAAACACACCTATTTTCAACACTTGGCGTTTTTCCCTATAACGTCGGCAAGAAACGCGAATGAAGGCGTCGTGGTCGCCACAGACCAGACAACCAAACAAACTTGCTTAGTTGATGAAAAGGAATCACAGAAGGCGAGTTTGCAACCAAGAGGCGAAAAAACGGACAAAAATGAAAATCCGTTGTGTGTTGTGGACGAAAAAAAAAGTATTTATATAAGAAAATGAACGAATGCACCAACCACAGCACGGGCGTGTAATGATTTCAGGTGAATCTCTCTCGCCCGCCTCCATCCCCCAGCCCGATCTTCACAATAATGCAATATGAGGGATTGCAGGCGGTGTGTGTTCGCGATCAATGACATTTTACATTTCCAACCCACGGAGTGTAGATATCTTTTCTTTAGGAAAACGGGCTAATATTTCGCCTCGCGAACATTTGAGACCTGCGGAAGTGTCTGCGGCACCATGTTCACCTTCATCTGATCAATGGCAGTTGTAATCGACGCAACAGGGTCTTGGACAGAACTAAACTCGTCTCCCCTGATGTTGGGCAAGCAAAAACATCCCTGGCTGGCCTTCCCGACACGCGAATCTGCCGTGCATCCGGCTGAAAAAATCTGCGAATCTACCGCTTGCTTGCTGCTGACTTACCCGGGAAAAAATACAGAAGCCCGGAAAAACACTGTTCTATGGTGATCCGCAGATACCCTCTCGGCGAGAGAGAGCTACGGTTGATCTCCATCGACAACGACGACCACAACATCCGTTACGAGCTGATCTGCGATGCGCCACTGCTGCAACAAGGTCGAACGAATGCCTCGCTCAGTAGATGGACAAGCGAGCTAACGGTATTCCGTGTGCCATGGAAACGGTACCACAATTTGCCCTATCTATTGCGCGCTGACAACGAGCCGCTTGCCACTGCTGCCCCTGTGCATTTTCAACCTTGTCTTTGGCTGCTGCTGGACCGACCGTCTTTGCCGCAACAGCCACACAGCGGTTGCTTGCGAGCACGAGCGGCCCTTTACCTTTGGGCTCGTTCGGGCTCCCTATCCCCGAGGGGGCCAACGACATCGCACAAGTCGGATCCGCAAAGCTGCAAACACGTACTGCTGTAAAGAGCAGAATTTCCTCCCCAGCTACCATCGTACAAAAGACACACAACAAGACTCAAAAACAACAAACGCGCACGCACCTTGGATCTCGCCCACTTGAGAATTTCCAGGTGCCCACCGCGCGCCGCCTCGGAACAGGTAGTCTTATCCCACGGGCACCCGTTCCTCCTGGCAAACCGGAGCGTGTCGAGGTCGCCGCACCTGGCCGCGCACGCCGGGGTGGAGGCGTCCCACTCGCAACCGTTAGCGTGCGCCCAGCGCAGCAGCGAGAGGTGTCCCCCGGCCGCGGCCTCGCGGGTGCAAGTTGCGTCCCAGGGACAGCCCTGCTTCCGTGCGTACTTGAGAGCGCCCAGGTGCCCTCCCGCGGCGGCTCTCCTGCAGACGCTCTCGTCCCACACCCAGGGGGTGCTGGCTCCGCCGCTGGTGCTGCCGCCGGTGCTGAGCCTGCTGCTGGCCCACGCCAGGCGAGACGCCGATTCGACCACGTTTCCGAGGCACGTGTTCTTCGGGAGCTGTCCTCCAACCCAAGCCCTGTACCAAGTCGAGGCCACGCCGGCCACGAAAAGGTATCCCTCGTTGTCAGCGACGAAGGGGATGAGGTGCCGGAGGATATCGTCCTCGTCGATGAGGGGGTTGTTTTCCAAGGTATCCTGGGCCGACGCCGGCGTCGGCGTCGGCGTCGGTGGCATGGTCTCGGAAGCGGGAGCAGCCTTGTTCTTGGAGGTCCTGCTTACCATCACGATTATCTATTTGTGAAACTGAGAGAAACTGCTCGACCCGCCACCGATATTTCAGTTGAACGTTTCCCTGCTCTCCTTCCTCTCCACGCAACACTTGTCCCCGGCTTTGCTCCTGTGTGCGGAGGCGATCTCGGCGTCGCCTATCTTTGGGTGGGGCGTGCAGCTCGTGCCAGTGTTGAAGAACGGGGCGGGTGTTGCTGTTGTGTGTTGTGTGTACAGGCATGCCACCGGAACAACATAGACTAACATATTCTTAAGGTGTACTCCTGATGAGACATGATGGATGAGATGGCCTTTTTATTTTCCTTCGTGTAAAACCGTCACGTGATTTTTTCATCTATTGTATCTTTAGAAAGTAAACATAACCTCACAGAAAGACTTATAACCCTAGTCGAAAGGGATGTGGTGAAGTCTTTTCAGCAAGTGGATTTATCTGTCCCGAGTAAACAACTTGTTACGTCATGGTGTTCTCGACCGTACTTATCGTTCGAGGCCGCTACCCCCACCACATTTATCGCAGACAGGCATACAGCAGTGATCAGTGGTGTGTTTGTTGGGCTTGTGGAGTGCACGCGGGTTGAACCTGCCACCCGGGCCACGATGTACGTACGCATCTACAGCCATCGGGAGACTTTTGTTTTTGCATACCACCACCTCTCCTCCACACGAAAACTCTGTGTGTTCTGCCGTCCTTGACGATTCTACCTCTCGCTGTGACGCAGAACGCATGTGTTGTCGGACCCGCACCAGCCCGGGGTCGCACAGCAGTCGAAGCACTGGTGTTGTTGGAGCTTCCAGAATGTTTTCTGTTTGCACAACAAGTCGCAGCAGTACCACCTACTCACCACGCGAATGAATTTCCCTCGTGCGGCTACACCCTGACGCCAAGACGAACAAGTTGACACCCCGGACATAAAGCACACCACGGGGCGTACCATATAAATATGCAAGCAACAATGAACATGATCGACGTTCCGCTGTGTGACCCCTTCGTCTCATCCTGTCTTCCGCGTGTTTCGACTCCGTCCAGCAGGCCAGGCCGAATCACAATAATCCAGCAGGGTCATCCATCTTGCCAACATGATCATTATATCATAAGCAACTTCAGCGATGCAAGGCCCTCCGCACTCGTTCCACTTGTCGACTATGCACAACAACAGCAGTATTTTGTTTTTTGTTGGGATGAACCATGCAGACCACAAAATGTGTACGGTACGCTGTACTGCTGTAGTCGACAAACATTCATATTGGCCAAGTGCAAACTGATGCTGCTGCTGCTGTATGTTGTTGTTGTTGTTGTTGTTTCTCACATTAGCTCTATAGTCCACAAAAAATGTGGAGCCCGTGGTCTCAAAACCCGGCACATACGACGCCGCGAGAAAACAAAAAACAAAAATAGGATACAAACCACTCGGAAAAAGAAAACAAAATGATCGAAAGAAAGAAAAGAACAGGTATCGCACCTACTGTTCGAGAAAAGAGCCCTCGGACACCGATCAAAATAAAA